TGGCCTTCATCTTCAATTTCCACAATGAGAAATTTCTCCCATTAAATTTTTCAATATCAAATTTCGTTGCCATAGCTTCTATTACGGATAGCTCCCACTATTTCACTATCGTGAATAACTCTCTGGAACCTTCAAAGAATGTGCAATACCTTCTTACTTTCTTATGTTGGAGGGTCCACCTTTTGGTAGCAACCAAAAGACAATAAGCAGATATTACACACTCAAATCTGGCTTGGATACCAATTATTGCGGAGGACGGCTATCAGATAGAGCAAAATCGCAACTAATAATTTGAGAAAATAAAGTTGAAGATAAAATAGACACAAAATTTACGTGGAAAATCCCTAAATAATATAGGGTAAAAACCACTGGCAACGGTAGAAGAATTTCACTATGAGAAAATAGGAATTACAACTTCTCTCGATCTACCAAGGAGAAAACAATGATAATTCTCTCTTGATAAAAAGAGAAAACAACTCTCAAGAAACTCTCTAAATTCTCTCTAGTATTGGAAGAAAGCTAGAATGCTTTGGGATGGTTTTGAAGCTAAATGAGCTAGGGTATTTATAGCAGAAGCTTTAAGGACTAATCTTGAAAATACCCTAAATTACAATGACTAAATGTGAGATTTTGCCATGTCACTTTTCAACCATTATTAGTTCCAACTATGAACCATTATTGTTGCCAACTTACAATGCATTATGAACCATTATTATGCATTATACAACTATTATTAGTTGTATGACAACTAATAATTTTGCATGACAACTAATATTATCACCATTGATTCTTTTTTTTGATGGCTTCAATCTCTAGTTCATACTATATTGCAGACTTCTAATCCATCACAAGACCTCATTATTTCAACGGTTTAAATTATTCTTATTGGAAGAATATAATCATATTTTTCATTCAAGTTACTAACCTTTCAATTTGACATATTATAATTGATGAATCATTTAATCCCCAAAAGAAAGAAAAATGGCTCATTATACTGAAGAACAAGTCAAAATGGAGCAATGTAGATTGAAGGATTGTTTAACTCAATGCAAATGTCATGCACATCATCTTTTGAGAATTTTAATCGAATGAGTATAATAGGATTTCATCATGTTTAAATGCCAAAGAGATTTGAGACAAGTTGGAGGTGACCAATGAAAAAAAAATCAAGTGAAGAAGTTTAAAATTGTCATTCTCACTCTCAACTATGAAAACTTCAAGATGAATCCTGATGAAGACATAAAGATGAAGCTCGACCTATTCAAAATTATCATCAATGGGCTTAAGACTTTTGGGAAAACATATCCCAATGAAAATATATTGAGAAAGATACTTTATTGCTTACAAAAGTCTTGGGAAGTAAAGATGACCATCATTGAAGAGGCCCTCTATGTCATGTCCCGATGCAGAGACATTTCCACTCAAAGGCTCTCGATGTTTGATGCAGAGGTATTAATCATGTAATGGGTGGTGCGGTATAAAAGACACTAAATTTATTTCTATGTTATTTTATTGATGTTTCGTGTAATGTCTCTTGCGATGGGTGACGTCTCATGCAGAGGATTTGGGAGAACATATTAACATCTCGATTCTATGGAGGGGGTAATGAAGGCTTATCAACTTTTTTGGTTGATCGTCGATGGCGGTAATAAATTCATTCTAGAAAGAGATATGGAGAAAGTTTCTCTAAGTCTTTGGAAGAATAAAGGGCAACTCAACACCCTCCAAGAGGTCTGTTTAACAGGTGGATGCATCGTTGCCCAAGTTAAAGTGAAGTTTAATTTTCCCTTTATCAGGGTTAAGACATCTAAACACTATAGTGGAGGCATCTCAACACTCTTTGGAGATAATTCTGAGTTGTATCAGTAAAAGTGAAATGTGCCTCTACATCTTTAAGCGTATGAAGGTATCTCAATAACTTCGAGGTGGGGGAATCTCAACACGCAATAGAGTGGAGCCTTTCAAATCTTTTGGTTGATTTTAGGATGTATCATGTTGTTCGATAAGAGTTTAATGCATCTCTAAACCTTTAAGCTTGATAGAGGAGGCTACTTAGTTTGCAGCACACCGTGGTGGATGTATAGACATCTCAATGTGCACTATTCATAGTACACATAGAAGGTAGAACTAAGACATCTTTGTTATGGTGAAAATAGAGAAACTACATCTCAATGTTGAAGAAGAGGCATCTCCACCCCTCGAGTTGATCCTTAGTCATTAGTTGGGGTATATGCAACTCAATACCCTTAGAGGAAACTCATGATTCTATAGTTAATGGGCAGAGATATCTCCATGTTTGGAGAAATCTCAACACTTTTGACCGATTATTGGTGACAATGATATTTAAGTCTAGAAAAGAGTGGAGGTATCTAAAAACTTAGAGTAGTGGCAACTTAACGCTTTTAGTCAAAAGGAGAGACATCCTCACTATGATAGCATAAGGGAGACTTCTCTCGTTGTGGCAACATAGTGGATGATAAGAAGCATACCTAGAGACTTCTACGCTCACCACACCAATTGCTGATAAGAATAAGTTAATCTCGTCTGTCGTTGGCAGTTCACCCCTTCTAATTAGGATAGAAAGTTACAATCAGTGGAGACTTGATCGTTAGTCGGTGTTGATGAGAGGGATAGAGGTAGAGGAAAATTAGTAGTGCTGGTGAGAGAGTAGGAAAGTAGAGAGAGTCACCTCTTCTTAGTCGTGACTAAGATGTATTTAAAGTGACCCTATCTAATGGTGTCAAGCATAGTATCATTGTAACTAAACGTAGGTCAACAAGTTAAATAGATCTAGATTTTAGATCTTGGACTTTGTTATGGTAGATCACATGAGTTTGTTAGAGGTCTTGCTTATTTGTTATAATTGAGTCCAAGAATATAATACCATGCTCGAAGGACTTAAATTCCTTAAAAATTTGATAAATGAATCAATCTATATGAAAGCCTTGTCTGACATAGAGTTGACAATTTATGACGGTTATGTTCACGTTTTCATTTTTTCTTTTAATTGAAACACACTAGGAACATTGACAACTAAAATCATCTGAAGAGATTGTTCTTCTTGCTTTTATAGATGCCTATTATTCTCAGGTGGCATGTTTAATCAAAATTCATTTTGTTTGATCAAATAAAAGAGAGTTTGCTGAATAATAAACAACAATCAAATTCGGAGGATCTCCCATGCTAAACTAAACTAATAGAGTTTTGTGTTCAATTCAAAGCTTTTTTCTTCTTCAAACTTCAAATCCTTTTTTTCTTAGAAAACAAATTCAAATAAAAAAATATTTTATTCAATCAAAAACATTCTATCAGTGTTATGATATATTCTAAATACAAACCAATACTCTTCATTTTAAATTTCCAGAAACCATTTGTTGCTTCATTTCCCAACCATTTATAGAAGACCATTTTAACTAAAATGAAAGATAAAATAGAGCTTTAGAACCTACTACCAAACCTTCATAATCCTAAATCTAAAGTTAATTAGTGACATACTGCATGAGTTTAATATCAAATTTAATGTCAACTCAGTTTTTAACACTAAACCTACTTCGAGATCGATTCTTCTATTGTCATCATGTTATAACCTAAACCTAATTGATATAATTCAAATCCAATTAACCTAATTAAGATTCAATTATGTCAAATCATCAAAAATCGAATACTAAACATATGTAATATAATTGATCACTTAATTATAGACAATTATTAGGTCAATCTTTTATGTATTTATAATTTCGCCTCTCATAAAATTATAAATACAATTTATGGTATCTACATTTTAATTTTATGACACTTTTATACCTATGATGCATGTATTATAATTGACTACTTAATTTTGTGTCATACATTATAATAACATTACTCATTAAACATGTGTACCCATAATTATATATTTTACGGTAAAGTATAAAAATGGCCCCATGAATATAATGATATATTTTTTTGAGTCCTCTGATTATTAAAAGTTACAAAACAGTCACCTGACTATTCATATGTTCCAAACTGTTCCTAATTTTCCGTTAAAAAATTAATATCTATATGACCTGGAAGTTAACCTACTTACTGAGATATGATAAAATCATATTTTAATATTGTATGCTCGCATCGTTGTTGCTTTTAAGTACTAGCTCGATGGCATAATGTTTTAAGCACTAGCTTGACGACATAATTTTAATGGAGAATTGATCCATGAAATACTGCTCAAATAGTTATGGAATCAAGTTTTATCATATCCATTCAACATGTTTATGTATAGCTTAGACGACAGCCAATTTTTTAATAGAAAAGGGCGAGTTTGGAATATATAAATAGTCGGATGATCATTTTGTAACTTTTAATAGTCGGGGAACTCAACGAAACAATGTTCTATAGTCGGGGGACTATTTTATAACTTTTAATAGTCGGGGAACTCAACGAAACAATGTTCTATAGTCAGGGACCATTTATGTATTCTATCCTAGATTTTAATTCAACGTATCATACTAGAGGAAAGCATGATCAATGATGCAAGTATTGATTATGATTTAGGATTGATCTCAAATTGGTACTCTTAGGACTGATGAAAAAATATTAAGCGACAATTGATTAAGTAAAGAGAGTATAAATTGATAGGGAAAAGCACTGCATTGTTTTTAGAAGAATTGGTATTTATTATGATTCAATTGAGTTTTATTTGTGTCAGGAAGGGGAAAAAAGAAAGAAATGGCAAGGTCATATATTGAGTGCATGTGGACCGTAATTCTATTAATGGGATGACTGTGGAGGAGGAGGAGGAGAGCGAGTGTTTAATTAGGCAGTGGATAGATTTTGTGTGACTATGGATCGTAAATCCTAAGCCAATTATTAATAATTATGCATAAATATATAGTTTTAGGGTTCCCAATTCGTTGTATTACCGCGTTCTCCTTCCCTTAGATTGCTTTGTAAAAAGTTTCTCTTCTCTCTCGTTGTAAGAAATCTTCCAAGGGAGAGAGGTAAAAGAAAAATATATTACACAAATGATGCAACCAGATCTCCATGCACCGTACCCAGGCTACGCTCAGCCTAATCCATACGCACACGCCCCACCCGCCCACTACAACTATTACAATCAAGGCTACGTGGCGGTGCCACCACGGGAGCGCCGTCGCAGCGAAGTTCCTTCTGCCCTGGCCAGCGTCATTGTATGTTTGTTCTTCATGATAGCTGTATTGGTCATCATCGACATAGTGTACGTGTTGTTTTTGGGTCCAAGGTACCCTGGTTTCTACGTTGACAGTATGTCCGTCTCCAATTTCAACACCGAAACGAACCCTTTGGTCGCCAAGTGGGATACTAAAATCACTGTCGAAAACCCGAACGGAAGATACAAACTCAACTTGGATCATATGGCGGCTCTTATGTTTTACGATGACGATGACGAAGAAAACGATCACGACCATGATCTCGGTTCAACCGAGATGAAGCCCGTCGAGGTGGCAACCGAAAACAAGACCAACATTCAGCTGGTGATATCCACCGGTGAACATGGTCAAAGATGGGTGCCCAGCTGGATTGTACGAAAGATGGATGAGGATAGGAGGAAGGGGTCGGTGAAATTCGAGTTGATATTTACCGTTAAGATGACGTGGGAAAGTGTCGGGGGGAGTCTGCCTGGGAGGGATTGACGCTCATAGTTTACTGTGAAGATTTGAAGGTTAATTTTAGGGGTAATACCAAGAACGGAACTTTGGCTTCTGAGGAACCCAATGATTGCAAATTTCGTGCCATTAGGAGATGACTTCTTTCTCGCTTTTCTAAATTGGATTTTTACCCCTTTTGCTTTTTTTTTTTTTACTATAGATTTTTACCATTATCTACGTTATTATGTCCCCCAAAGAGGTGGTTTATCAATTTTTTTTTTATTTTTTTCCGTTTAATTAAAAAAATAAGTTGTCGAATTGTATATTTTCTTTTTGATTTAAATGTTTAATTCTTTTTATTAATGTAAGTATTTAATGTTTATTTAATTATTATTTAAAATAATCAACCGTTAATTATGATCGTTAAACGATTAAATATCTAATCGTTGTTTGTTATGTAATATGTAGTTTAGTTTTTTTCATATTATTTTTTAAAAATTAAAATTATTAATTTTTAAACTTTTAAAATTTCTAAACTACTCAAAATCCTTAAATCTCTTAAATATATAAACAATAAACTTCTAAATTTCATATGTTACCGTTGAATCAATCACCCTTATGTCACTAGATTCTCACTAGTCACTGGCCCCTTTTCATCGCACGTCGTCAGCCATAACAAAATAATTGCATCACCTAGTCGCTAATCTTATCGCACGAGATCACTTTTTTATCCAACCGTTGTTTGTTTATTGTCATCAATTAGACTACACTATCGTTCAAACCTCAGCTCGCCGCCTGATCTTTGATTGGTTAAAGGAATTTTGGGATTTGCGTTATTTTTAAAAATTTATAAAATAAGGTTTTTTTTTATTTTTAAAAAAACAATATTAATAAAAATTTAATGTTACGCATAAAACAACAATTGATTGATGAATGTCTTTAACCCCTGTTGATGGGATAACCTTAAAAAGATTATGAGGCATAATCCATTACATCAAGATGCAACTAAACGACCATGGGGTAAATATCTCTATGGAGAACATCTAGTATATGCGCAAGAGCAAAGTTGTTGATCGATAGGTGATCGATAGAATCGACTTTTGTGATTCCGTCTGCTACTTCGTTTGCTTTAAGATGTATGACTGCGATATATACACCCCAAGTTTTGTCGATGAAAATTGCAATTGCTCGGACAAAGTTGAAAGGGCTGTCTGCAGAATCCGTTGTTAAGAGGTTAAAAGCGTCGGCACAATCAATTTAGAGTGAAACTCTCTCAAAATCATGAACAAGTTTGAGACCTTCGAGAATACCCCATGTTTGGCTTGGTGTACCATTGTGAATCAAAGTCTTTTATTGAAGCCTAGAATAAAGTTTCTCAGATGGTCTCAAAAGTTACTGTTGGTGAAATAGAAACTACAAAATGAACCGTTAACACTGACTGAAAATTTATAAAATAAATAAACAGTAAATTAAATAACCATGGCTTGGTATTAATCTTTGTCTTATAAACGAATTTACCTTGATGTGTGCAATTGCTGCAGTAGATGGTTGTCCCCCCAGAGATTAATACATTCTTTCTAAGAATTGGTACACCCAAAAATTAGAGTGGACAAATAGTGATATTGATCTTCTCTAGCATAAAAAAAACCTTGAAAACTTTTAAAGAATTGAAAGAAGAGGAAATAGTTTTGTTTTGGAAGCAAATTTTATTTTGCTAGGATGATAGCAATTGAAAATCTACTTAGTATTTGACAAGCGTCGAATTACCAAATAAAAATAATTCATAATTCTCAAATAAATAAAAAATAAATAAATAAAATAGTATAGAGAAATAGAGTCGAACCAAAAGGACTAAGGAAATTTGATAATGTCGTTTCTCGGATTGAATAAACTACGAAAAATAAAAGGAGATTTAAAATTAATGAACACTACAACAAAGTCGGTCTATTGTGGAGTTTTTTGTTGTTGTTATATAGTGCCGTTTTAAATCGACACTAAAAACACTCATGGCACAAAAAAAAAAGCCACAAGAAACACCGGCTAAACGAACGCCGCAACTATTAGCGGCGTTTTACATCAATAAACGTCGCAAAAAGACATGTTCTATAGCAACGTTTTGGATAAAAATGCCGCAATAAGTTAGGATATTTAGTGGCATGTTTATTTAAATGTCGCAAAAAGCTTGCGACATTTTTTATGCAAATGTCGCTATTATATACTCCATTAGTGGCATTTTTTCATTCTAAAACGCCGCTAATCACAACAAACTTCAAATTTAATTAGGACACTAATTAAGTTGAAATACTTGACAAAAAATTAATTAAAAATTAACCAATAACAATAAACATTAAAGTGACATGTAATGTAATTCAACATTGTTCATTATAATTAACAAATTATGAACCTAAGGTTTGACTCAACAATAAACATGAGACCAGCCGAGGTTGCTCTGGTGAATGTCTTGACCAACTCCAAAGGTGGCTGCATTGCTTGATTTAACCCCTGCTCAAATCAAGGTTAAATCATTCAATTAATAAGCCTTTGATTTTTGAACTTGAACATTAAACTTTTGGCTAAAAAAATATGGCTAACATAACATAAACTCTGGATATTGACAGGTTTGTAAACAATATAAAGAAATATGGGAACACAATGACAAAAAGTTCAACAAGGTTAAACTCACCAGCAACTTCAAAAATTGTACTAGAATAGAATAGAACACCATTAATGCCAGAAAGTTGTTGCAGCATAAGTAATCCAATTCCAACTTGAAAGATATTGGCTCATGAAACCAATTAGATTCCTCTATGTCCAGCTATTATCTCATGGTCATAGGACAATTCAGATGAATGGAAAGTTCAAAATAAAGCTTATGAATTAACTACTAAAATCTACAATCAATGGAAACCAATATCTCCTTTCTTTGAGTTCGACGAATACATCAAATTTACGATATACAAATAGAAAGTACCATCTTCATACGGTGAAGCTCATGTATGAAGCACTTATAATACACATACGGTGTGTCCTCAGGTTGCGTCCAGCTCTCATACCACGTGTCTTCCTTTGATAAAACAACCAGACAAAAAATCGGAAATGGTACGAACAACTAACCGAGTGTGACGAAAGCTCAAAAATAATTTGAGCTTGTAACAACCCGACCAACATCCCAACCCACAATACAACTTGAAACCCAAAAGATTTTAAACCCCACTTAACCCAATCCAGAATGCAATTCGATACATCTACAATCAATCCGATAAATTGGTCTAAGACCATGTGTACATCTGAATATGTGTCAAACTACTGAAAATATATTAGGGGAAATGCAGAATCTAGGTAATGTAGGCCAAAGATAATGTAAAATCTACACCTGAAACTAGAAGTTTTCTATACAGTCTAATAAATGATTGAAGATGGAGACAAATACATTTATGGTGAAAAGGAAAATTATAAAGTAATTCCAAAAAGTGTTATTCAGGTGTAATTCTTCACATTCATAAGCAAAACCCATATTCCATAAACTAATACATCAAATAATCATTAGCCCAATCATATTTCAGTTCAATACTTGAAAACCTAGTGCCAAATATGATCAAAATTTAAAAATAAATTAAAATTTCCATTTCATAAAGAACCAAAAGCAGGAGCAATACAATTAGAGCTACAAAAACCCTAAACAAAGAAAAAAATTAAGAGAAGGATTCAAGATCCTACATTTAAAAACCAACACTTCAAATGAAAAAAAAAACCCTCTTCCATTGAATAAGGAAGAGCAACGTAAGAAACGAATAGAAAGGCTACGTGATTGAGTTGAAACAGAAAAAATGGAATATACCATCTTCATTAAAGATTTAATAAACAAATATGGAAGGACTAGCTTCAGTTAACATGAAAATCAAATGCAATTCGGCAATAATCAGAAGCAATGCTTATGAGTTTACTAAGACTATGAAACATAATGTTCAGAACCTGTGAACTATGTTAACACTTTGAGAATTTGCGAAGCATATGCTAAAAACTGTAACAAAAAAATTCTCAATAACAATTGAAACACTCAAAACTCATATGATGATTCAAAGCATATAAACTCTAATAGTTAGAAACAAACGGAGATATAGTTCCAAAAAATACTAACATGAAAACTAGAATATGGAATTGCTCACTGTTTCTTGTGACGTTTCGTCTTCAAATGTTCATCCCTCAGGGAAAAATTGTAAGAGAAAAGCAAAGAAGAATTAAATCTTAAGCCAGAGGGAAAGAGAAAAGAGAGAATAAGGGAAAAACTTACATCTGATTGTTGGCAGCTGACGACTAGAAGAATGGTATGGTGGCTGTTCTGAGTTAGGGTTAAAGCACTTGAAACAATTGAGAGAGGCAGAGAGCTGACAGATTTAGAGGAAGAGGGATTTTGGGGTTTTTATTAAACTTTGCGGCATTTTATTTTCCAAACACCACTATAGTACACACAATTAGTGTGATTTTAAAAAAATGCCACAAACGTTATCAAACTATTACGGTGTTTCTCCAACAACGCCACCTTTTAATAGTCTATCGTGACATTTTAAAACAAAACAAAACTATAGTACCAAAATATTATGGCATTTCCCCAAAAATACCATTGTATAGCGGTCTATCACAACTCTTGTATAAAAATGCCACTATATGCAAAAAATAGCAGCGTTTTCTTTAAAAACGCCACTAAAATCGTCGCTATAAACTTGTTTTGCTATAGTGGAAAGTAAATAAAAAATAAAAAATATATAATGAATAAAAAATCATGAGAAAATAAATAAATTAAATAAAGTAGAAGAATTCAATAGAGATGATATTACCTTAGGTTTTGCTTATGATAAACCTTAGGTTTTTGTTTTATTGTCGAAATAAAATTTTTCCTTAGTGATGTACACCAGTTACAGTCAACAGGGCCCAACTCCAATAGCTAATTATTTTATCCGGTTAACCAAAATTTCCAAGTCTATCTCTGAAATTCAGTCCTTGTTGGTCTAGTCACATATATCGTTGTTAGATCCAGAATAGCTTTA